AGGATTCTTTGCGCCAGAGATTACCTCTTTTCGAATCTTCAACTACCTACCCCCGGGTATGTAACGGTGCAATCCTACCTGGATATCTACGCAATATTGACGATCAGATATGCATCCATACCCGGCCACTTACATATAGGGGTCTTGATCCATCCGTAAGAAGGCTTACTTTGGAACCACTGAGACCCCCAGAGCAAAGAGTTTACGATGCATGAACGTTCCAGTCCCAGATAAGCCCGTAGTTCTTCGCCTAATGGCAGGGTTGCTTTTTCATGTCTCTAGAATCATGACGCCTTCAATATACTATCAAATTAAATAGTGGTATTATATATCTTATGTGTTGTTTTGCAGTGATTGCTTCGAGACCCCCACCCCCGTCCACACTTCTCGTATTAGATGGCAACTTGCCCACACAACACGACGCGCGCTTAGTAGAATCGTACTGATCGTCAACCAGGTTGCCATCATTTCCCTACCTCTTGAAGTGCCGCCGCCCCATATAATACCGAGCGACGATAGCTTGAAAGATAGGCATACCCTTGTAAGGACTGGCCTGGTCGAGCATCAACAACCTAGACCAGATGGAGTACTCAAACTTTACCAGGCTCATGCTAGGACTACTACACAACTTCAACCCCTCAAAAGCCAGCATGTGGCAAGCGAATTCGCATCTAGAAATGACCGACGTATTCATCCAGCGTTACACTTGATATTGCGCTATCAAGTCACTGACGAGAAAATCATGTTATGCAATAAGAAAATCTACATATCGCCGATTGGTAGCAACTCTTGCTGCTGCGGACTTTAAGCTGTTATCGCCGCGGCCTTAATTTCATGGATTTATCCGCGATTTCGGAAGCAGGAATCGTTAACGACCATGTATGGAAATCATCTTTTCTTTTATGGCACTTTTGCATATTCGATTCGGTACATGGTAGCAAGCATGGCTTGATGCAGCTTATTGAAAGTAAGTGAGACGCGGCGGTTCTAGTTCTGACATTAGATATTATGTGATTAAGATATAAAAGAACTATACTCTTATGTGCTTGAAGAGACTATAATTGGCTGGATAGGGCGTGCACGTTTGATTGGTTAGGATTCCGACTTACCCCTTTAAATCATTTCATTGCTGACCACAGTTGTCGGCAATGCTCCAACATTTCCTATGCAACGAACAGTTCTAATAGTAAGACCAGCTTGAACCTATCCGTATAATGGTGTTGATGCCATATCTTTCAATTCGAGTTCTTCGTAGCGGTGCCAGTTATATATTGGCCCCTGACTCCACAATTTGCTTAAATCATAGGAAATCAGCCATGATGGTAGCCGCAGTGAAGTAGAGTATATGCGCATTCCATTTATAATTTACGAAAGAGACTTGCCTGCTGGTGTTCTCAAGACAAATAGCTAGACACTGATTACTTCGTAGAGCAAGCAAAGACTAGCCTTCCTGAATAGAAATTTAAACTTCATTCTATTTTCAAGGGATAGCTTTTGTTGGTACCCCGCCTAGGAAATGTCAGATATTACCTACTATCTGTCCGATATAATTATATAAAATGTAATAGAATAAAATCTGTTATTACCAAATAACCTTTTAGTGGTATAGCGGTTTGTTCGATAGGAAACGATAATATCCAAAATTTGGATCATCGAAGCCTAATATTAACAAGCCGACGCTTATTATTTGATTACTTCTGGTAGAATTATCGAATAATTCCACATATGGCTGAAAAGTATTGTCTTTAACATGATATTCGTAATTATTGCCATTTATATTGAATAATCAAAGTTTTCCAAACATGGCTTTAGTAAGTTAAATGATACTAAGGCCGTGATCAAGTTTTCTTTTCTTCTTCTATAGGTAATTTAACATTACACAATATCCCCCCCTATGTATTGGATCATTCAGACTTCATATCGGAACTCCCTATTCTGCAAATCCGTCAGGTCTAAAAACTCGTGGTTCTCTTCAGGCCTATAAGTTCCATCGAGTGCCGCCCTTTCCTGTTCTCGCTGTTTATTCCGTCTATCTAATACCCACCGCATCACTACCAGGTCAATAGTGACAAGGACATAGATAATACAAATTGAAATCTTTGCTGGGAGGTAGCGTGGTGCGTCCCGAGCTTGGAAAGTCTGTGGTGAGATGATATTACCAACGGTATAGGCGATCGTTCCTATGCAAGCAACCGTGATTTTCTTCGTTGATCCTGCCACGTTCGAGCTTTGAAGCCCAAGGATTGTGGTCCAACCAATTGGGATACCACCGCTCGTATAGTAGCCGATCAAAGCAGGCACCCGTTCAGTCGTGGCCATCAGAATGGCACCAACTATCGCAGGGATATGGCCAGCAATACAAAAATACAGCCTCTGCCTCGTCTTCATCGCGCCGTAGGTAAGCCCAATTAAAGCCACCACCTCCCAAGCACCGAGTGGAGTTACTAATAACAGAGACTCTTCGCTAGAGTAACCCATACCCTTTACCAAAATGTTTCCGAAGGATGTGGCGATTGAGTTAGGGATATTGGCCGCAAAGATCCAAAATGCGTATAGCCAAGTCATCGTGTCAGTTAACGCTTCTTTTACTTGGTCCCATTTGAAAGTTTGCGACCCGATGCCCTGCTCATTATGCCTAATGCGTTCGAGATGAAGCCCCTTTTGCTCTTTATCAAGGAATCCCGCAACGGCGGGGGAATCTGGCATAACGAACCAAAACGCAATTCCCATGGCTACGGTGAATAGACCCAGAAATAAAAAGATGACTTGCCAGCCCTTTAAGGCTGCGTTTGGGTCTTTTCCTACATGTGTGGCCACGCCATACGCGAAAAAGCCACCAAACATCTGCGCTACTCCGCACATGGAGAACCATATACCCACACGAAAGGCCTGCTCCTCCTTCGTATACCATTGAGAGGTGAATAATACCCATGCTGGCACCACAGCTGCCTCTAAAACTCCGAGAAAAAACCGGCATGCTAATAACCCGGCGTAGTTCTTGCAAGCTGCGAGGCAAGCAAGAGTAGCACCCCAAAGGGTAACATTAATCGAAGTATACTTAGCAAGAGGGAATAGTTGTATCAAGCGAATCGTCGGAAACTCAAAAGCGAGCTGGCCGAAGAAGAAGATAGATGCTACCCAGTTAAATTCATTCCCCTTGAGTCCAATAGATTCCGTTATGCCGGTAACACTGGCGTATGAGATGGCAGTCTTATCGATATACTGGAGGAAGTCTGCTATACGTTAGTATAAGGCAGACAATAGAGAGGAGGACAAGCACGGCGATCGTAGTTACGTACAAACTATACAAATTAGCGGCATGACATGCCAGTCGATACGCCTAACGAGTCTTCGATGAACTTCAGGACCGGCAACCTGATGCACGCCACCCGTTTCCTTCAGAAGTTCCAGAGCCGCATCAGCACCGGACTTGAAGGTTTTATGTACGCTGACCGGGGTAGACTGGTTCGCATGCTCCTCTGAGCTCGACTTGGCTTGAGTAGAGTCCTCGGCTATCCCCGGCGTCAGGACGTCTCTATCTTTTTCGTGTGAATCCACCATCTCGACCACAAGCACGATCGAATCGTTGCGGTAAGTTTGGGATCGTGAGAAATTACAAAATCAACACACGAATAAATGAAAATTTTGAAAACGCGACTGGGCTAAATTAAAGGCGTGCGATGTCTTCATGGCGAGGTGAAAAAGGCTTCAGCTCGTCAAGTGTTACCTTGATAAGATAGATTACCCACATTGATTTCGTGCTGTGCAATGAAATAGCATAATTCTCTGAGCACGTCATTTGAGGGCTGATGATGCCACGAGGCTGCCAAGGATTCCAAGTAACCAATTTGCTAATCGCGATGAGCTAGCGTTTAACGACAGACCTACCACTATTATATTATAGTATGTACTAGTAGTCGCGATTTAGAAAATCTTTTTTGTAAGAATTAGGGCGCTTCTTGGAAGAGAGAAATTACCTACCTAAATAAGAAGATTTAAGACTTAGGACGTCGCGAGACAAAATACCGAATAGAATATTATTTTACCATGAAGTTCAGAAAGATCCCATAATGCCGTGAATAGGTTACACCTATATCTCATATAACTAGGTACTTAAGGTAGTACCTATTAGGATATAAGTATTTTATTGCTTGTGAGATAGAATTAGTTAAGTGACATGAAAAAGAAGCGCCCCGCGTATTGTTTCTATATTATATCGTTGATTTAAGCTTACTACATGTAGTTGCTGCTATAAAAGAGTGATGTAACCTACTATAGCGGTGTTACCCGGTTATAAATAGTCATTACTTATCTAATAATAGCATGGGTGTATTGTATAATGCCTCTTAATCGCTAGCCGGTGCTTTTTAACTGATCAATCAACCACCTCAACATAAAGCGTTGATCATGGAAAGTATCAGTAATACTAGTTAATGTCTATTTGTCATGATGCCATTACATTAGGTACCTAGCCTAACAACTTGAATGAATTATCAAGATTTCTTGATTTGAAATCAGTATTATTTATGTTAAGAACCAACAGCATAAGACTAATTGCCAACAAGCAACAGTGAGACTTCCATATAAAGCATAACTACCCCATGCATCAATCTTCGACGCAACGCCATTCTTTAGGAAACCCCCCTGAAATAAATCGTAATGCCTATATGCTATTCATATCCAACCAAGTCGTTATATGTACTATGCGCCGCATAACGAAGATGCATTACTGATCGATTTTTAACGAGTGTGGATGTCACTAGAAGCCACCATGAGGTGCCGGGCTAAAGAGAGGGGTATCATCAATCATCTCAATCATGTAATTAGGTCATTATTACGGTTCTTGGCGAGTAAGACTCAGGCTTAGCTGTATGCAAATGTGCCTAGATCTCTTCGTTAGGAATTGATGATGTGTATAAACTAGAATGATAGATTTCGGCTAACAATAACGTCTCCTATTAACCCCTAAAGATACGCTGGAGACACCGAATAACTCCAAGATGGTCGTTAATAAAACCCTCGTCTTTAAGAAGATCCCGGCCGGACTACCGATGCCTGGGGTGCGCTTCGAAGTTGAGGGCCGGCCATTCGGTCTTGATCTCGTTCCAGGAGGTGGTGCCATAGTCGAGGTACTGTCCGTGTCACTGGATCCGTATTTGAGAACCCGGATGCGCGACGCTAGTATCTCTATGTTCAGTGACCCCTATATTGTAGGTAAAGCAATGAAAAGTATCGTGATCGGAAGTATCCTAAGGTCGGATGACAGCCGGTTCTTCCCTGGCGATGTCATCTACGTGGAGCTGCCCTTTTCACAATACGCTTCCCTCACCCCTCAGGGACTCTAAGGCGCCATTAAGATCGATAATCCTTATAATCTAGACTATATGTGATATCAAAAGCTCATTTCCTCTTCCTTTGATCGAGCGTTCTCGAGGTTTCTAAGAGAAGAGCTACTAACGTTAATTATTTGTAGTGGATTACTTCACGGGCCCGCTTGGAGGGGTCGGGCTCACGGCCTTTTCATCACTAGGTATACAAAATCGGCAAGCCCAAGAAGGGCGATATCATCTTTGTCAGTTCCGCCGGCGGTGCCGTCGGTTCCGTGGTCGGGCAGCTGGATAAGCGTGAGGGAATGTTGGAGGCTCGCACTTGGAAGCAGCGCTTCAGCACATCCGTGAGAGAAGCCGTGTGGTAGTGTGCGGCGTGATTGAGGGGTACAACACCCCGTTCGAGCAACGCTATGGTGTGAATAATACGATTGAAATTTTTTTCCAAGCGCCTGACCTTGACTGGGTTCGTTGCAACTGATGAAGATTTCAGCCCGGCGTACTTCCAACAACATTAGGAGACCCTGCAGAAGTGGATTGTCGAGGGTAGCTTCAAAGTCAAGCTACACATCACCCACGGTATCAACAACGCACCTGAAGGCTTCAGAGAGCTGTATCAGGGTAAAAGCTTCGGCAAAGCCCTAGTTAAGATCAAGGAGTAGACTCTACCTTAACTCTTAGTTCGTAGTTAGTACTTAAGAACGTGGATATGTGGTTTTGGTTAGGGGGGGCGGCTTTACAAACTAGGGTTGATAGTAATTATTCAACAATCTTAACTTACTACCTCGGTCCAATATAATCATGGCGGCGTTAACTGAGAATTATGTCGTAAATCCCACTATTCGTTTTTCACACTGGCTACCTACTTAGGTAGATAGCACAGCCCATAAACCGTGAAGGTAACTGGATGTTCTAACGAAGCCATATCATTCCCCCTCTTACTTCGCCCCAAATGCGCATTGCAATCACATGGTAAATATATTACAACAATCACTAGCATGCTTGTGTCGTAGAATAAAAACCACGCGTCAAGCAGCCACCCGAGCCCCCAGTCCTAAACACGTCATCGGCTGTGCGCCCCGATCTCTGGCTCCAGGGGCTTAGGTTTGACCTGTTTCCCTGTTTGTATCATTCTGCGCTTGCTTGATACAGTATAGGGCCCGCCGGCCAGGGCCACATCCTACGCGCTGCTATCTCGCTTGTGCAGCGGAGCGAATTACGGCTTCTGCATAAACCCGTGCGGTCGTGTAAGTAGATGGCGCAGGAAGCCGTTGACTCTTAGTATTAATTGTAATATAGCGTGAAATAAAATAACGAGTGACAATTAAGTTAGGTACTTAGTGACCAGTTTACTATTTTACTATCAAGATAACCTAGCCAAGGTAAGCACAAATAGGCAATCGAATAAGTCCAAGACCGAATATGAAAGGCTAGTATAGGTTTCTCAGATGATCTTGGGTTTCTCCATCCTGATAACTTCGGTACAACGCATAGGTATTGCGACTTTGGTACTGCAACTTTAACCACACATACAACACTCAACTTTACTAAGGTATTTAATTAGTCATGATGATCATTCCCATCCTTATCGAACTTAGATGTAACTCCAGTGCAGTTATCCATCTCAAGGTATACCCCCCCAAGAAAGGAAATATGACACAAAGACTAAGATACTGCCAATAGAGGCTACCTAAACTGATCAACCCATTCTGCCTTGAGAGGACAACGAAACATCAAACTCAGGATGAACTACCAGTTGCGGTTTCACGCCACCCACTGAGTCTGTTCCCCTTGGACCATAACGCCAAATATCAAAATCGGATTCTAAAACGTAACTGGCTTAGGTGGTGGTATAGTCGAATCGTATTAGTACAACGAGGGAGGTGACTCAGTTTTCTAGATCTGTAGAGTAAAAAGCGTCTGTGAATTAAGGTCATTCGGGCTCTCCAGAGTAGATTCGTTGACCTAGAATATGGACAGCCGAAAAGAATTAAATAATACAAAGAGAATTAAAGTAACGTCGAGACCGTGGCAATGGGGAATTGTATTATGTAACGATTGTTATGGCCCGAACTGCAAATTATGCTTACACATCCCCGGGGATTGTAGGGTAAACTAGATCATGTTAGCACATGCAGTGCGTGGAAGGGAAAAAGAAAACAGGTAGGAATAAAACTTACACCATGCGCATGTAGCGATAATCGCATACAGACATACTAAAATAAGACCCTCAAGCCAATGGCTCTTCCCATCACCAATTAAATAGTTGACTAGGAGGACGGAAACGAAAAGAACAATAACCTGGAAAGTATCGAAAGCTAGGGTCATATCCTGGTTACCCATACCCCAACCGATAATAATCAGGAGTGGGATGAGAAGAAGGGCAACCTGCATAGACGACCCAATAGCGACACCAATGGCAAGATCCATCTTGTCCTTAATGGCGACAGTAACGGCAGTTGCGTGCTCGCAGGCGTTGCCGACGATCGGGAGGAGAATAAGACCGACAAATTCCTCACTGACGGCACCTGTCGAAGTAATGGCCTCGATACCACCAACCATACCCTCCGCGCAGAGCGCAATGATAACGGTAGCACCGATGAGTGTAGCAAAAGCGACGACAAAGCTAAGCTGGGGTCCTTCTTCCTCATCATCATCCATATGCCCAAGAGGGTTCATCATTATCTCGCTGAGTTTGCCCTCCTCGTCGTGAACACCGGCGTGGGTAGCTCCAGCGCCTGCTCTCGCAATCCCGGAAGCAACGGCACCCTCCGGAAGGCCCTTCTTAAAGATCGGCTTGCTTGCAACCTTCTGGCTTTCCTCGTTAAACAACGTTACGTGAGTCTTCATCTGGAAGAAAAGATACGAGGCGTATACGATTAGTAGGATAAGGGCGACACCGTGAGATATGTTCGGGACGGCGTTGGGGCTTAGCTGGATAGAACCCTCATTTAAATCGTCGGTATGTGCGAAGACGGTAGGCACGATAAGACTTCCCACGGCCAGAGCAAGTAAACTGGCAGCAGTCTGGGCTACGGTGGTGTTGAAGTATTGCTCTCGACGGTTAATGCCACCGCAGAAGAAGCAGAAACCTAGGACGAGAAGTAGGTTGGACAAAATACTGCCCACTAGAGACGTCTGCACAACTTTAATTTGATTCTTCGTGAGAGCGATGATGGCCACAATCAGCTCGACAGCATTCCTTGTTCAAATTAGCACACCTCGAACCCAATTTTCTATAAGATATTTATACTCACCCAAAAGACGCGTTTATTAGTCCTCCAAGGACTTCTCCAGTTCGCATCGCAATCTCCTCAGTAGCATTGCTTAGCATCGCGGCGAGAGGCACAATGGCGACGAAATTAACACCGAATACAACTCTACCGTCAAAGTTGAGGAAGTGTAGAGCAATACCCGCAGGCGCGGCGAGTATCAGTATGTTGATCGGGGAACCGAAAAATACGCGCTGGATTTGATTCCGAACGGTGAAAGGCTCGGAGGGTTCGACATGCTTAAAGAAACCGCCAGTGTTTGTCTTCTTGGGCTTCTCATCCTCTTCAAAATTTTCGGGCTTAGTTAGGGTATTTTCCTGGGCACCACGATGTCGCACACTACTATTATCGAGGTCAGTTCCAACAGTCGTCGCCTGTGATGCAAATGTCTCGCCCTGATCTGCGTGGTCGACCGCGTGGCTACCTTCTAGCTCCTTACTATTCCGTGCCGACTGGTTGACGGGCGTCAGAAGACGACCTGGTGCGCTTGTAGATGGACCCAAGTGCGCTATATCGCTATCGCCGGTTAATATTCCTCGCTCAGCTGCATCTATCGTACTTGATCGCTTCGGCGTTCCATAGGCTATGTGTCTAAACGGATTGAAGCGAGCACTGCCGCCAGAATCGCGCCGACTCATACGGTGAGCCTTTGCCTTGATTTTTCTCATATTCACTGTATTCCAATCCATGAAGTAAGTATGCGTCCAATAATACGGGGTTAGTTTTGCTAGTAGTTTGCTCTGCTCGCTTGGCTGGCGATGTGGTACTGCGCAAGCAAAGATTAAGGGGAAAGCGTAAACGGGATACAAATGAAGCTTATGTAGCTATTGAAGACGGGATCAATGCCTTTATGCCAATAGCTTGTTGATGGTGTTGTTTTGGCGAGGAACGTGGCAGAGCAAGTTAAGAATAGATTCGAGACAGTATTGTAAGCTGTACAAATAGGCAGGTCGAATTTATGATAGATGGACTGAAGCATGTTCGACGCTAAAATTGTAGCGTAGAAATCCTGACGGAAGAGTGGAAGAGTGCTGAGTTCGTCACTAGATGAATATCGGATGACGATGATGGAATAGGAGTAGACCATAATATCCGTGATTATCGAGTCACCACCTTCATCTATCAATAATAATAAATGAGGTTTAGACAGTGAATTGCTTTGTGACTCCGCAAATAATTTGTGCCTTTATCCTTTTCATCATGTCGCCCTGCTCTGCCGCGTTCTTTGTTCACGCCTAAATTGAAAGGCGCACGGGGCTTTTGTGGGTTCAAATTCCAACGCAACAAAGATCAACTTACATTCGTCGCCCATCTTGAAGAGGCTCTTTCGATGTAGGCTTCAGCCTTCTTAAAATATGGGTACTCGCGGTAGACAGGCTCTACGGCTGCCTTGTAGAAACGATTGGGGGCCGTTTATGGGGTTTGGTAGACGTATCTCGGCAATCGGCTCGCCTTTTTATCAATTTGGAAAGGTACGCCTTCGAGCGTGTAATTCTGTGGCCTTTGCTATTGGATGTGACCCTTTAGTGCCTAGGCAAGCTCTATAATCGAGCCCTTTTCATAGATCTGGAGTAATCCGGGGAAATCGTGTGTCAAGATGAATTCTTGGTGGCGTCAAATATTATTTTGATGTTTTGTTAGACCGCAGGGTGGCGACGAGAACACCGGAATAGAAATCAAGAGTTAATATTTAATATGTAACAATAGAAAACGAGTGTTGAGAAGACTAAATGTCGCGTTGTCGTCGTTGAGGGAGCCGTTGATGGTAAGGCAGACTTGATGGCTAAAATGGCTTAAACAACTGGAAAAACCAAAAGAGGCTTTGGAATATTAATCGAGGGCGCGATCAATCTTGTTCCCTTTATTGGTATTACCTACTAATGTTAGGGGTTACGATTTACTTAAGATTAACGTCCGGGCAGTACACATCATGTATCTAAGGTACCTCCTACAAGGTACGTAAACATTGGTGAATTAAGTGTTTCTCCACAGTAGGGCACATGTACTAAAGTATACGTACACACATCCTTGTAGGTCGTACAACGTAGGTAGGTAAGGCAAATTGAGGGGCATTTATAAATTCCAGGAGGCCTCAAGTTGCATCGTAGAAGCGCTGGCTGCTACGTACGCGGCTTTATTTTTTCGCTCTCCAATTCAATTGGACTTGATGATATGCTAGTCTTACCGGTTTATTCAAGATATTTGTATTTATATCAAGGTACAGTCTCAAGTTTTAAATCAAGCTGATCAAAGAATGGCCCTTAGGAATCAAGCTTTACATAAGGTCTAGCGGGCCCACAAGATTGGCGCCATTGTGTCGTGTAGCAAGGGTAGGTACCTAGGTAATTTATACTGTATGTACCTATGTACCTTGTATATTTCTATTGAAGTTGTAATGATGTAGGTAGGTATTCACATAGATGTTTTACATTCCTGTAAATCTCCGCTGCAGATACGCAAAAAAGCGACGGCAAGCGACGACAAGCCATTCGCAAAACAAATGCGTAATTCGCAAATAAACTCTCACATGGAAACATTCGACAACTACTTCTGGAATCTTGATTTCCGCACGAAACATGGTATCCATACGTGGCAGTCGGCAGATTCTTATCAAGGTTTTGGATTGTTTCACAAGTTTTCCCAGTTGTAGCTGTCTTTGACGTGGGTGGCCATAATTCTAACACGTCCTTTCACGTCCCGGCCGACGCATACACTAATGACGCTAAGCGGCAAGAGCCTAAAATCGCCAACGCTAGAGTTTTGGTCAGTTTGAGGTCATTAACTAAACTATATCAAGTTATCGACTATTAACTAGGGTAGGTACTAGGCAATGCTTAATATCTACCAATGCTAGACTCACTACCAAGTTTTTATGGCAAGCATCATATCATCAGCATCATCTCCTCTATGTAGGACCCAAAATTATACGACACATCCCAATCGACGAATTCACTAAGAATATCGTTCCACGTCCCTCACATAAAAAACTCCGGCAGTGAATCTTGAACATTGTTCCTCCAATCCACGGTCAAGTTGCCTGAATTCTGGAAGTTAACCCCTGACACGAGTTAACTTAGTGCAACCAAACGGATCTAGGGTGTAGATATTGGGCACTTTAGGCTTACGCTGCTATACACTAGTTATTATATGGAGTACGTGGTAATCGGGTGGGTAGGCTTCTTATTACTAGTGAAAAGGGTAGTTGTGTAGAAACTGCCCGTAAGTACAGTCAAGTTACTACAAAATAGTCTTCTCGAAATAAAAGGGATAGCGTAAGCTCAATGATTATCTGGCGATGATGGTGTGTTATATTTTCAAGAGGATTAAATGCATTAACCACCTACTCATATAAAACGTCCCTTCCACTCTCAAATCCTTTTTCCAACAATATACATATCGATATGCCCATCTTTTCAGGCTTTATAACGGTTCAAAAAAGACTGCCCGACGTCGGATCACTGCGCATATATGGGATGCACCACAGCGCGCGTCCTCGTAAGGGTGCCTAATATCGACCTCATGCCACCCATGTGTTTTCAACGTACATAATGCATCCGGAAGAACCCAAGAGGACCTGGTGCCTTACATACGAACAGGGCGAAGCCAGTCGCCGTAGCTTTCCAGGGGATGGCGAATTAACAACTGACATGAGGCTGTGCTGGGGAAAGTAGTAGTCCCAAAGATCCTATTGCTGCGCCAAGTCGTTTACGGAGAACCGATCTGTCGTGATCAACTTCTCACCGCCTGTCAACTCCCACGGCTATTCTAGAAGCTTAGTCCTGCATATACGCGTGTAAGCATATATCAGGATGTTAAATATTCCTATTGATTACAGAAAAGGCCAAACAAGAGAGGAAGTATTACATTATGTGATATAAGCACCTGTTTCCTGGCGTCAGACACTGCCATTTCGTGATGGGGTGAGCTGATATGTAGGTCTGAATGATTAATATCTCGACAACCCTCCGGGAGGTAACTAAACTCTAGATATCTCAAGCAGAATCGGACAGAGGACCTATCTCCTTTTTCGTACCTAGCCTACCGAGAAAGGAGCATTGGATCGCAAGGCCAGCACTGCTTAGGCTGTAATTTCTTAATACTGAATACTTCCTCGCCTAAATAGTAGCGAGCCTGCTAGGTTAGGCGCCGGTCTAGGGTTAGCAGCGGTACCTAGTTCTGCATTGCCCCCAAGAACGAGGGTTGGGATGTTCGCATCGGGTACGGTATCGGGACCAAGTGATGCTCCGGCCATAGGTGTACCAGTCACTCCCCTTTCCAGCGTTTCTTTGTAAAACCCATCAAGGGCATTTGAATCGTTACAGAACGCTTCAAGTTTGTCCTTGAGGGCCTCGGGCTCCCCAAGACTATAATCGGCGGGTGCTGTGGGGTCCTTAGGACCGCCTGTCACGGTGCTATGTAATGGCTCAGGCGGTGCTCGAGGCGCAAAGAGCGCGGGCCTAAACATTGGCGATGCAATGGGCGTGGGTTCGGCTAAACCATAATTTGTGTATACACTCGCACTCGCAAGGCGAGAGATGCGGTCGTTTGGCGTTGCCTCAGGTCGCGCTGCAGTGGGTTGGGAAATTGCTGCCCGATTGCAGCATAACCTATTTGCTAGAATTAAAAAATCACCCTCATCGGTGATCTGTACTAATGTCATGCCTGAGCGATGAATATATTGGGAATATTTGAAATCAGGCTTGCCCCAAGAATAGCTAACATCCACATTGCTTGGAAAATTGGAGGCAGCCTCAACATCAAGGACATAGTCGAACTTTCGCAGTAAGGCCTTTTGATAGTAGAACTTGCCTGGCTGTGTTTGTGGTCCGAAAGAGTTAGGGTCGTAATATGTCATGGGACGCTGGGTGGGAGGCGGTCGTGTAAGCTTGATACGGTAGGGTCTCCGGAATGGATTGACTTCTGTGATACGAAAAGCCTCTGCAATTGGTACTTGAATAAGGCGGAGGCCGTGTTGCGCTGCAATCGCAGCCCAAGACTTGAGGGCGTCTTCGATGAGCTTCGCCGTGACATTCATCCAATCGATACGAATGTGGTAGCAATTATCGGGATTGTGAAGTCTATCATAATGTAAATTGATCCTCTCGGGGCGATAAGACTTTTTGCGGTGATCGACGTCGTATTTCATCATTTTGCTAAGAACAACCTTAGGCTTCTTCCCGCCTGTCGTCCCTAAAGTAGGTGTTGTACTACCCGAGACTGGTAAGTTTTCTTCATGAATTGATAATGGTCTTTGTGCTGCTACTTGATTGGGTCGAGGTGAACCCTTCGACTGATTCTCCGATAGGGGCGTAGAGGGGACAGATACATCTCGTCTCCTCGCATTAAACCAACCCTGGGGATGGGGTTTCGCATATTCGCCAGCAATCTGATAAAAGAATTGGCCATCACGGAAGGGGTGCCTCCTCTCAACGTGGATAAAAATCCCTCGGTCACGATCCTTCTTTGCGTCTCTGCTAGTATCTTTATCCCTATCTCTAGACTTATCGTCGTCAAGGACCATTAGAGAATTTCCAAGCTCAACCGCCTCTTCTCGACTCTCGAGGTCTTCGAAATTATCAAGCAGCCAGGTCGTCATATCTGATCCAATAAAACAGTAATAGTGGATCCGAAAATGCCATCGTCGTGTTTGCATTCGAATTCCACCTAGTTCGACCGGCTGTTGGATTGCTTCGGCCAGGGCAGCGACGTTGAAGTTGGATTTTGAGAAGCGTTCCTTGTTAGACACTAAGCCCTTGCGATTTATCGATTCGACATTCTCGAATAGTGGCAACGTCTCCACCTCGGCGGCAATTACTACGGAGGGGTCTTCAGTCTTGTAGACAATATCAAGAGGGTTAGGATCTCGCTTTCTCGCACCGGAGCTTTGAAACTGGCGTTCCGAAGGTGATAAGAACCGATGCCGTTGCCAGAGTTGAGCTAGTCTTTTAATTCCCTCCAGGCGCACTTCCTCCTCGTCATCTTCATTCTGTGCCACTGGAGCTGAGGATGTCCGGGGATACATTGGTATGAGCACGAAACGTGCCCGCCAAAACCTGAGGTTTTCTGTCATCTCGTCCGTGTGCCCGGCAAGATACGAATCTATATAATTCCAATTACGCTCCGGTTTTGGGGTCATGATATCAACGTTGACGGTATGGTATGTGTCGTCGAGCAGGGTCTGAATAGCGGGCCTATATAGGGACGGCTGATCAATTTGCGACAATGACTCGGTCGGTTTCCGCACGTAAATGTTAACTTCAACTTCGGTGCCGTTAACACACGAGAGTTGATGAATCGTGTTCCCAATGCTCATGAAGATACTTGTCCCATCGCCGACAGTTTTGTCTATCGAGAAGACGTCCGCTATTCTCACAGCCTTTTGATCAAACGCCTTAGCTACCGATGGACCGATCACGACTTGAAATCCATGCGCAAAACGGGCACTAACGAGTTCTCGCAAAAATTCTACACGTGACCTAGGCTGATCCGTATTTTCATCTTCTACTTCTTGGGAGATGTTGTATGGCTGTCGTTGGTATTCGGTATTGAACTGTGTTTGCGTTGGGAAGTATTCTGTAGTCAAGGGGACGGCCGCAGGGTATGATAAGGACTTCCATTTCATAACTTTCATCTCGGATGGCCGTGGGAACACGTGCTGCCACCGGCTAAACAAAATCGAATCGTCGACCTTGTTCACATTCGGATTCGACGGGTTAAGAACAACTAACCATGGTGCCATAGCGGTAGTAGGCGAGAGCGTAGAGGGTAATTCCGGCACTCCTCCTGCTCGTAACTTCGAATTATACAGCTTTTTCTGGTCCTCCTCTCTAAGAGCGTTCGAATATCTCAAGTCTCGATCATCAGGTCGTGCGCTTCTAGAAATAGGTGTAGCTGGTATCTGGCCAGACCTTAGTGTACTGATGGGATCAAGGGTTTGCATAGGGTTCCTAATTTGAATAGGGCGGCTTGGTGTTGCTTGCGTAAAGTCCATCGTAGAATCCGATTGATCAATGGTCTGTAGGATGCTCCCGGTGCTTACTGCCTTCGAAGAGCTTGGTCGTGCTGTAGATTTAATGGGTGTCATAGGGGTTGTTCTGGGAGTTATCTTAGGGGCTGAGGGGGTCTGGAGTCCGGAGCCGGGAGCTTCCGTTCTAGTAACGTTCTCCGTTCTTAACTCAGCTGTCGCTAGTTTAGGAGCCGCGATACCAAATCCACGCTGACCAAGACTAATCTGCCTCATGAACTTTGGCGGTCGTGGTGGTGCCGGCTTAGGTTGACTTGTAGAGTTACGCCGGGAAACATTAGTAGATATAAAACCTCCCAATCCAGCCCTATTTGATGATGCCACACTTGAAGAAAGCCCGGTTGACGACCCAGCTATTCTACTCTCTCCTACCGAAGTGCCGAATAGGTCGACAACTTCTACTAGTCTACCTGTGCTTTCTTCTAGTTCTCGATAGGGATGGTTCGGGGGTAAGGGCCGATGCGCCGGAAGCCGAGCTCTGGCTTCGTCAAAATTCTGTAGGTGCTTCCATAATAATGTTTCCCCAGCCTTTGTCAACTTGTCCGGGATGAACTTGAGGAAACCATAGACGGGCTCGAACAATGTTTCGGGTACCTTCCGATTCCCTACAGACGTCGATATACGACCGTCGCCACCTAAAAGTCCTTTTTCGCTTTCGAATTTGCCGATAGTATTTGGATAGGCAGAATCAGCATGTAAGGGTATAGTCTCGATCTCATTAGTCTCGAGCACGCTCCTCATCTGGAGGTCGTAGAGTCTACATCGAATCGTAAAATCATCTTGGCAGTCGCTGGGGGACTGGCTCGATGCAGACAGAGTGATACCTTGAAAGGATAAGGTCTCTTCCGACTTCCCAGTCCAGTAGGAGATATGTAACCACTGGGGAACTGCAAAGGCCCACTCATCAGTATACAGCGTAGAACTTGCTGAATCAACACGGCTGGCCAAGTCAGCTGCTTTTGTGGGAGATACAGATTCGCCTAAAGTCGTATAACTACTGGCAAGAAGCGTAGGCTGCTTCGGTGTGCTCCCGGGACTCCTGACCGGCCGGGGTTGCGATCTTCGGTGCGCCTCGAGAAAATGAGGATTTCGATAACGAAACAAAGGGACGGAATGCAGCGGTATGTTCGGAATACAAATTAAGTCGATACCAATTCCATTGCCAACTAGGGCTTCTGTCGTCCGACGCAAAGACTCGTATTCGACTTCAAAGACACCCGGACCTGGGCTGATGACCACTATAGAAATGCCGGTCCGCAGAAGGTCCCGATCTATATAATCATGTGCATACAAAGAAGACGCCAAGTTGATAGCTTCGAGAAAATTTCCGTACATGGCTAGAGAGGACACTGCTTTAATCTTACTAGAGGAAGTGCCCTTCACCGAGGAATCCTCGGGGGCATCCGTGTCGTGACCCATGGCATTTCGGTGATGAAGGCTAATATCACGACGGAAGACGTTAAACTCCATCTTCAGTTGGTGTAGTATCTTAGTCCACTCGCCACTAGACATCTCGCTCACGACAACACGGTAAAAATCCTTAAATGGACGCCTCTCTCCGGACGTTTGGAACCCAGTATAATAATCATTGTCAAGAGCTGAGTTTGCAAACTCGGTGGTCAACCCAGTGTCATACTCAACCCTCGCAAAAAGTACAATACTGACAAGATGCTTTACTTGCATCAAGGCCCATTTCTTGAAGAGGGCTGGCAAGAATCCATTCACAACTTTGTAGAACATAATCTCACCTGAACCGTCAGAGTCAAAGTCCCACATTTCTCGTGCCATCTGTATGAATAACACGTATCTGGCGCATTCGCTACGGAAGATTGGGCGAGTGTTGCGGCTGAAAAAGGCAGAGTGGGCCTTGCGGCCTTCGACGAAGACGGTGCTGACGGTTGCCTTAATGGTTCCCAGGAAGTATACTACTTGGCCTTTATATACAGTCCGATCTATTAAATCGGCAACTGCAAGTCTCCACATATCCGCACGGGACAGGTACATATCTTTAAAGGTGAGCTCAACGTGAGAGGCTTCGACGGCAGGCGAAAGGCTATCGACCGGGGCAAGTACGACTTGGGTTCCCTTTCTCATATTGAAGGCGACACCAATCTGTTTCGAAACGTACACCTCTATATTAGGATGTCTAGCTTTCAGCTCCTTGGGCACATCCTTTGCGACAAAGACATATCTTCGGCCAGCATCAATCTCGGACTTGGGAACGTCATCGCTTGGGGTAGTAGCCGTGAATGCTCGGTGATAAGACGGCTGCCTCGATGTACTATACTGGGACCCCTGCATCCTATCCTGGTCGGATTTTATGGGAGCGATGGACATCAAGGCTCCAGGCTGCACAGCTCCTCCAAATAGGTCAAGGTTCAGGAGGACCTCATCACTAATGACAGACTCATTGATAGTGACAGAGCATATTCGTTCATTTACTCGCTTGGGATGCAACTGTTCTCGAGGGGTGGTGGAACGAACAGAGACATCATCTGGGGATAGGGGGGATTCGGCCGAAGTCCTGTCGAAGCTGGACTTGCTGAAGTTTCGCAAATGCGAAGTCCATTGTGATGCTCGACGTGGCGCCGATGGCGAAGGAGCGGCATTCCGAGACATTGTGCCTCTATTATCCAATATCAAATGTATTGAGACGCATCATTGCGGAAAGTTGAATTTCTGTCGCCCTTACGAGAAATTGCAGCGACGCCGTAGAAAATGATGATAATTTTACAAATGGAAGTTTAGGAAATAAATAACTAACAGGTACGTTAGGAAACCTAAAGTTGCCCCCCGCATAATAATGTCGGCAGTATCGAGCGGCTTCCCTAAAATAATCTGACCGCTTTCCTTTTTTGCGAACAAAGCAGTACCCAGGTACCTAGGTACCTATTACCCCTAATACATCCCAGGAACATTGATGGAATTTACAATCTTCACTCCACCTCCACCTTAACATTCATCTGTCATCACAATCCAGTTCAGCATTTGCATTATTTAACAAGGTAGTTCAGAAATACTTCATGTTCGTAGGTACAATATATCAACAACCTGGCTCTTCATCTTATCCGTCACCACTTTCCAGGTCAATTCAATTAACCTATCCGCGAGTGCATCGTCCTGCGCTAGCTTACTTCCTGGCTCCGGCACAGCTGGTGGGCAAATGTATTGGCCCGAGTCCTGTGTGTATGTCGCGGCAAACATGGTTAATACGGCTTCTTGGAATTGATCCTTTTTAAAAGGCTCAAGGCCGACAGCCATCGCATATCCGCCCAGCGGGAAAGGTTCAAAGATGTCTTCTTTGCTCATCTTCGTACTCACGAATCCCGGATGGGTCGCATTCATGAGTATGTTGGGATAGCCCGCGTCCGTCACCTTCCGAGCAAAATATCTAGCGTACAAGATAGCCGCAGGTTTGCTACATCCGTATTGTGCATTAGGACCAAGGTCGCGGTTCAACTCCTCTAGGCTCTCAAATCTTGTGTCGCTGGGCGTCGATTGGTACACGTTGTGTGCCTGGTTGGATATGCGAACAACATTGACTTTCTCTGCGGTCTGCTTCATTAGTGGAAGTAAGTGAGATGTGAGGATCACATGGCCAAATATCATTAACGGTCATGTGCCTATCGACGCCATAGTCTGTGAGCTGGCAGGTCATGATTCCCCGTCCAGCGTTGTTTATCAGGATATCTAATATGTCGCTCCTTCGTGATCTCTTCGGCCATCTCTTTTACTCTCTCCCGATCTGATAAGTCGCACTGCATCCACATAGTTCTATCCGCTACCTCTTGGCCTAATTCCTTCGCGATGGCTTCCTTAGCGCCCTTCGCAACATCGTCGGATATCGAAAGGATATAAACTTTGGCAACGTTGTGCTTTAGCAGTGTATACCTAAGCACGGCCATAGCCGATACCTTCGCTCCCGCCTGTAATTACGGCAACCTTTCCCGTCAGGTCAGGAACTTGGTCCAAACTGAAAGGGTGGGTTGTAATGTCATGAGCCTTGCCACCGAAGTTTTCTCCGATAGTATTCTAGTGACAGTATCAATTAACTAACAGAAATCCTCCAAAGTTCTCTATTCCTAGTATTGGGGGAGATAGCCATTATGCAGCCATCCGCTATAAGCCATGGGGACATGCCTTGATGGCCTTCATACCCTCTAACAGTATTCCCCGTCTCGGCGTAGCTTGTCGAGTAGCCTACGTCGAAAAAGTTGCTAAACTTGAGTCAGTTCTCGGTGAATAGATCAAGTGGCTCAAACGATACACGACGGGGCGGGCCGGAGAGGCTCGGGATAGTATACTACCAAACATGTATGAGGAAGCCTGCATTTGAACGTAAACAATTTTTTATAGAAGTACTTGCAAATCACGATAGATTGCACCTGGTCAACCGCCTTTCTAAACAATATCATCCAGTCTCATAGAGAGAAGACTAGTTTGCTCTATGAGCATTGCTATTTCCAAGCCGTCATCTACCCCCATTTTGTGTTATTGATATTATTTTGTTGTTGGCACTTTTACATGCTTCGCTTCAACATGACGTGCTGACTCGGTACTGTCGTCTAGGTATCCTACGTCACAAATGTACGGAATAGCGTAGTATTATTAATCTAGCTTACCAGAATAACACATATTGTCTTGCTTGACCTTATGTACCTAAAGTAGTGAATCAAAACCTAAGACTCCTAGTTCCGTGGAATATTAGGGACGGTGTTAGGATTGAATACATTTGAATGACGATATTAGATAATACCTCTTACAGTTGAATAGACTCCAATGGCTATATTGTTAACGTTTTATTCCCGTTCAGATGCACAGACCATTACCTCTGAGTGTTTCTTTACCTGTCTCCATCTACAGTGGGTATGTATCTGATGTGACCCTTGAAATGCTTGTATTGCACGACAGTGGCACTAGGTACCTAAGGTAGGTTAGTTCGAGAAGAAAACAAATGCGGTGCTCCCGTGCTCTGATTTTCAATATGTAATCATCCTCTATCTTCGGGAAATATAGATCTAGATGCACCTGCAGCTGAATCTGGCAGTTTGTAAGGTGCAGTCTCCGATTTATACCGATCCGGTGAGCTGGAACCGTCCGACGAATTTGTGAGAGGCCACGACACTACTGATGCTTCTCAGGGTCCGCTATGACTCTCGGGATATCACATAAAAATCGAACATAAGAGCACGTCGCGCACATATCCCTAATGATATGTCACTTTCTTGTTTTGCCACATTCGATCTACGGGGCTAACCTATATAACCTATATAAATTAACCAAATATTTTTCCTTAGCGACAAAGAAGATATCACACATTTGCTCATATCATCTCTTACTGTCAGTGCAGAGATTATCCCCAATTGGAGCAACCCATGTTTCGCTGTTGATTCGAAAGAACAGGGGTGATCAACGGTTTCAGCATGATCGACGGCAGAGTGTCCAATACTCCAGTCAATTGATAAGCGAACAATTCTTCTCAAGGTCCACGTTCGAATGATTTTGTTCTTTTATGCCCTATTAGATGATTCAAGTGTCATACATTCACGATTCGCAAGTGACTGCAGTCTGAGCATACAAACAGATACCTTCCTCATCCTCTATATAAGTCAACGGACGAATCGACATCTGATAATCAATTAGCTCCGCCAAATATCTCGGTTCACAAGAATTAGTACATATTTCAGTTTTAACCGCATAGCAACCCAAATATAAGTTGTAGCCGTAGCCTAATTAATATCAACGATTCATCGGACGACATCACTTCCGACTCTAAACCCGCTTTTCCACGACGTTTACCGATCATGGCCGCGTTCAGACTCTCGTCAAAGCAAAAGCTTTTTGCCATAATCGGCATTTCCTTTTGTTTTTTTATTGCGGAACTGATCGGTATGTTATGGAGGCAATTTTTTCCGGAATCCAAACTCGGGCTAACCATGTCACAGTGGCCTTTTCTACCAAATCTCTGGCTCTCCTAGCAGATGCTTTCCATTACGTACGTCATATATCTGCTTGTATGTTCACCGAAGCTATGCTTAAACTTATTCTACTAGATGAACGACCTCATCGGTTTCGTTGTTGCCCTAGCCGCTATCATCGTAAGTTCAACCAGCGCATATCAGAGTATATTTAGGTACGTAACTAGATCAACTAACCCAAACATCAGATCTCGGAACGCGCAACCTCTCCTGACAACTTTTCATTTGGTTGGGCACGCGCTCAGCTACTCGGTGCCTTCTTCAATGGTGTCTTCCTGCTTGCCCTCGGTGTATCCATTTTCCTCCAATCGATTGAAAGGTTCATAAGCCTTGAACGTAAGTCATAACCCGTCCTAAGATGCTGCTATACGTTAAAAACTCCGTACAGATGTTCAGAATCCCGAGCTCGTGCTTATTATGGGCTGTGTTGGGTTGGCACTAAACATCATCAGTGCGACATTATTGCATGAGCATCACGGCCACGACCACGGAGGGCATGGCCATAGTCATGAGCATGCACAAGGTCATGAACATGCTGAGAACCACGAACACGACCACGACCACAGCCATGTTAATGTCGAGGCTGGCGGGCAGTCAAGAGAAAGTTCAGGCGACTATGATCAAGACGAGATTCCCTTAACCGTAAGTTGCTATCAGCTTATTTGCCCTCATCTCCCGTTACTAAGGTAAATCCAGCCTATAAGTGCCCATGCCGAGCACCGGCATACCATCGTGAACCTTCAATCTTCGGGAAGAGACCTTGGTATGATGGGAGTCTTATTCCATGTCCTTGGTGACGCATGTAATAACGTCGGGGTCATCATCGCGGCACTCGTCATCTGGCTTACGACACCCGAGGGTCGATTTTATGCTGATCCAGGCATAAGCATGGCCATTGCCATCATGATTCTGGTGACATCCATCCCACTTGTGAAGAACAGTGGCAAGATTCTCATGCAGAGCGCCCCGAAGGGCGTAAATATTGACGACGTCAAGCACGATCTAGAGAAGGCAAGTCATTCGAGAGAGTTATTCGTGATTATAGGACACTAGATCACTAAAAACTTCGCATAGACTAACATGACATGATGAGTACAGATCCCCGGTATCCAATCTGTTCACGAACTACACATCTGGCGCCTCGACCAGAAGAAAGCCATCGCGTCCGCCCATGTCGTGGTATCAAACAATGATATGACTGACTTTATGAGCCGCGCGCGGACCGTCGGCGAGTGTCTACACGCCTACGGCATCCACTCAGCGACCCTACAACCCGAGCTTGCAACACCAACATCGGCATTATCCACTAACAATAGCAATAGTAGCCGTAATAACATAGCTACTGGCGCGGAAGATTCCGCGGCCGCAACCGCTGGAACTGGAGCATCCTCAGGGGCATCGATTAGAAGGCGACGCCCCGAGATATCGGCCCCATGCCAGATAGCATGTGGGAACCTATGCGAAAACCTGACCTGTTGCAATACAGGTGCTATGCGGATCTAAGAGTTAACAGTGTAATGGTCCTCAAGTTGCACAATGTTATTTAGGTAGATTTAGCTATGAGACGACCATATACTACTTAGACTTATAATTGGCAATGCTGAATTCGTATTTGTATAACTAAATTACCTACCTAAGTAAGTTGATCGATCACCTCTACGACACTTGGGCACCATCTTCGAGCTTTATAATAGCGAAATAACCTACATACCAGTCTTTAACCCTGAAACTTAGAGAACACGCGATTGTTACTTATTGAAATATCCGTAAT